CATGCCAATCAAGGTAAGTGCTCTTCTCGTTAACACCCAAGGAGAGGCATATACAGTGGAGTCCCAGCCTGTGTGGGTAGAGCAAGAGCTTTCTGCTGAGCAGAAAAAGGCCAGGTCTGCGGACTGAGGGTGCACTGGGGCAGTGGGAGTAGTGGGAGGGAAGATGTGGCACCAGGCTAGAGGGATATCCAAGCCAGGGGCGGACTGCACTGAGGGCCAGGGAAACTGCTCTGGATATATGCAACATTTTCCCCATGGTTAGAAAAATTTATGTATATGAGTGTATATGTGTGTGTACACATACATGCATATATGTGTGAATTAAAAAAAAGACAGAAATAGAACTAATGACAAGCAAATGAGGTAACATATTAATAATAGGTGAATCTGAATAAGAGGATTATAGGTGTTCTTTGCACTGCCTGTATTTTTGCAACTTTCTATAAATTTGAAATTACTTCTTAATAAAGCTTTTTAAAAAGATACCCTTTAAATCTCTACTACAGATAAAACAATTAATGAACTTGATTTATCTCCCCTTTTTTTCTCTTTCCTTCCATTTCATTTCTGCATTGTGAATAATATTTACATACTATTCAGACATCCTGATTGTCACAGTTGCTCTAGACTTGGTATTACAGTTAAATATTCTAAATGCCCACCACCAGTCCTTTTGCTATGGTTTTTCCCAGTCATCTCTTGATCGGTTGAAAGTTCTTTTAAGTAGATTCTTTAATTTAGGCTCATGGGAACAATATCCATGAGATCTTGCATTAAACACCTTTTATTATAGCTGTTATGCTTGAAGATCAGTGTATTAGTCCGTTTTCATGCCGCTATGAAGAAATGCCTGAGACTGGGTAATTTATAAAAAAAAAAGAAAAAAAAAAGGTTTAATGGACTCACAGTTCTACATGGCTAAGGAGGCCTCACAATCATGGTGGAAGGCGGAAGTGCAAAGGCACATCTTACATGGCAGCAGGAAAGGGCATGTGCCTGAAAACTGCCCTTTATAAAATCATCAGATCCTGTGAGATTAATTCACTGTCATGAGAACAGCACAGAAAAAAACCAACCCCCGTGATTCAGTTACTTCTCACTGGGTCCCTCCTATGCCATGTGGGGATTATGGGAGCTACAATTCAAGGCGAGATGTGGGTGGGGACACAGCCAAACCATATTAGTTAGCTTGCCAAAAGATAAAACCCTTGATGCACACTTTGTAGAAATGGCTCCATTATCCTCTGGTAGTAAATATAACTGTAGAGAAACAGGCGGTCAGCTGGTTTTCTTTTACTGTGGAAGAAAAGGCTTGGTCTTTTTTCTCTTGGCTGACCAAAAGCATTTTTGTTATTGTTGTCATTTTAAAGTCCAGTTACTTTAATAGGATGTGCCTTTGGGTTGATTGATCTGGACCAACATTTTCTGGAATACAGCATATCATTTCAATGTATACATTTAAGTCTCTGATTTTAGGAAAATTCTCTTGAACGATCTCTTTGAATATTTATGGTATTCCATTTATTTGTCTTATTTTTTCCTTAAAGACACCAAATGATACAGTTTGGATGAGTGTCCCTGCCCAAATCTCATGTTGAAATGTTGGAGGTGGGACCTGATGGGAGCAGACAGGATCATGGGAGTGTATTTCTCAAGAATGGTTTAGCACCATCCCCTTGGTGCTGCCCTTGCCATAGTGAGTGAACTCTCATGAGATGTGGTTGTTTAAAAGTGTGTGGCATCTCTCCCTTTACTCTTTTGCTCCTGCTCTGACCATGTGAGATGCAGTGCTTACTCTGCCTTCACTTTCTGCCATGATTGTAAGTTTCCTGAGGCTCTCCAGAAGCTGAGCAGATGGCAGTATCATGCTTCCTATATAGCCTATAGAACCATGAGCCCATTAAGCCGCTTTTCTTTATAAACTACCAGTCTCAGAGTTCTGAAGGGGAATGGCAGATAGGAGGCAAGACTTAATATCAGCTCCTACTCAGACAGACAGAGCAGCAAGTGGAGACTCACATCAGTAACTTTTGCTTCAAGGACTACCCCAAGAATGTACCAGGAAAGCTGAGAGGATCCACAGACCTTGATGGAAGTAGATCACTACCAAAAAACTGTGAGTGCCCAAAGTGTGAAAATATGAAAGGGGGATCCTCTGCCCCAAAACACATACCCTCACTGGGAAACCTGAAAATCCAGATCACAGGAGAAGGATGTGACATAACCTGGATCTGAGACAAATTTAGAGAGCTGAGCAAAATACATGGGTAGAAGCAGTGGGAAGAGCACTGTGAGCTCTCCCAGTTCCCAGGGAAACCATTTCTGACTTTGTTTTACAGGGGTCCTCGGGGAGGTCTGCCAGAGGAACTGGAAAAAGGCTACAGAGAGAAGAAACCTTCCAGCTGAACTTCGTAACAATTTCAATGGAAGGCAAAGGTACCTGGACAGAACTCAGGGATGGGGTGAATCAGGAGTGCAGATGCAGCACAGAAGCCACAGCAGGCAGAGAGGCATGAAACCTGAAAGCTCTACTTGCTTTCTCAGGCAAGAGGCTGGGTAGCCTGGGGCAGGTTCTCAGCCCTGCTGATCCGCTGCCTAAAAATAAACTCAGCATTGTTGCGGGAACACAGTGAGAGTGAGATTGGCCTTTTGGGCTGTTTGGGAGCTGGGTGAGGCCTGTGGCTGCTGGCTTTCCCCCACTTCCCTGGAGACCTGCATGATGCCGCTGAAGCAGCCATCATGCCCTGAGAACATAACTCCTTGGCCTGAGAACCACACTGCATCCTCCACAGCAGCCACAGTAAGCCCCACCCAAGGAGAGTCTGAACTCAGACATGCCTAACACTGCCTCCACCTGATAGTCTCTCTCTATCTGCCCTGGTAGATGAAGACAAAGGACATATTCTATGGGGAGCTCTAGGGCCCTGCCCACCACCTGATCCTCCCTATACTACCACAGCTGATGCTCTCTTGAAAACGCCACCTTTGGGCAGGAGGCCAACTGAAAGAAAACTAGTACAATAAACAAAACTACAACTAAGGACCTTCATAGAGTTCATTTCACTCTTCTACCACCTCCACCAGAGCAGGTGTTGCCATCCATAGCTGAGAGACCTAAAGGCGGTTCACAACACAGGACTCTGTGCAGATACCCCCAAGTACCAGGCCAGAGTCTAGTAACTCCAATGGGTGGCTAGATACAGTAGAGAAATAATAATCACTACACTTTGGCTCTCAGGGAGCCACATCCCTAGGGGAAGGAGGAGCGCACTACATCAAGGAAGCAACCTGTGGGACAAAAAAATCTCAACGGCGCCTTTGTGCTCCAGATCTTCCCTCTGACGTAGTCTGCACAAATGGAAAGGAACAAGAAAAACAATTCAAGCAATACGACAAAGGAAGATTCTTTACCATCCCCAAAAGGTCACACTAGCTCACCAGCAGTGGATCCAAATCAAGAAGAAATCCATGAATTGCCAGAAAAAGAATTCAGAAGGTTGACTGCTAAGCTAATCAAGGACACACCAGAGAAAGGTAAAGTCCAACTTAATGAAATAAAAAAAGATACAAGATATAAAGAGAAAAATCTTCAGTGAAATAGATAGCATAAATAAAAAAATTACGACTTCTGGAAATGAAAGACACATTTAGAGAAATGCAAGATGCACTGGAAAGTCTCAGCAATAGAATCAAACAAGCAGAAGAAAGAACTTCAGAGCTCAAAGAAAAAGTTTTCAAATTAACCCAATCCAACAAAGACAAAGAAAAAAGCTTTCAAAAATTAAAGCTTCCAAGCAGTTTGGAATTATGCTAAACAAACGAACCTAAAAATAATTGGTATTTTTAAAGAATAAGAGAAATCTAAAAGTTTGGAAAACATATTTGAGAGAATAATTGAGGAAAATTTCCTGGCCTTGCTAGAGACTAGCAATTAAACTACCAAATTCTCCACTGTCTTGATGATCTGTCTAGTGCTGTCAGTGGAGTATTGAAGTCTCCTATCAAGACATCCAAATACAAGAAGCACAAAGAACACCTATAAAATTTATCACAAAATATCATTGCCTAGGCACATAGTCATCAGCTTATCTAAAGTCAAGACAAAGGAAAGAACCTTACGAGCTGTGAAGCAAATGCATTAGGTAATCTATAAAGGAAAGCCTATCAGATTAACAGCAAATTTCTCAGCAAAAACCCTATAAGATAGAAATGATTGGGGCCCTATATTCAGCCTCCTAAAACAAAACAATTATCATCCAAGAATTTTGTATTCAGCGAAACTAAGCTTCACAAATAAAAAGATATAGTGTTTTTCAGACAAACAAGTGCTAGGAGAATTCACCACTACCAAGCCACTATTACAAGAATGGCTAAAAGGAATGTTCTAAATCTTGAAACAAATCTTCAAAATACACCAAAATAGAACCTCCTGAAAGCATAAATCTCACAGGACCTATAAAACAAAAACGCAATTAAAAAAAGGTATTGAAGCAACAAATAGCATGATAAATAGAATAGTACCTCACATCTCAATACTAATGTTGAATGTAAATGGCCTAAATGCTCCACTTAAAAAATACAGAATGGGAGAATACAGAAGAATTCACCAACTGAGTATCTACCATCTTCCTAACACATAAGAAATCACATAAACTGAAGGTAAAGGGGTGGAAAAATATAATCCATGCAAATGGGCAACAAAAGCAAGCAGGAGTACCTATTCTTATATCAGCCAACAAACTTTAAAGTAACAGCAGTTTAAAAAGGCAAAGAGGGACATTATATAATGATAAAAGAACTTGTTCAACAGAAAAATAACACAATCCTAAATATATATGCACCTAACATTGGAGCTCCCAAGTTTATAAAACAATCACTATTAGACATAAGAAATGAGATAGACAGTAACAATGATGGTAGTGGACTTCAATACTCCACTGACAGCACTAGACTTGTCATCAAGACAGTAAGTCAACAACAACAACAACAAAAATGGACTTAAATTATAGTTTAGAACAAATGGACTTAGCAGATATTTACAGAACGTTCTACCCAACAACTGCAGAATATACATTCTATTCATCAGCACATGGAGCATTCCCCAAGACAGACCATATTATAGGCCACAAAACAGGTCTCAATAAATGTAAGAGAAATCAAAATTCTATTGGGTCAACAGTGAAATCAAGATGGAAATTTAAAAATTCTTTTAACTGAACAGTAATAGTGATACAACCTATCAAAACCTCTGGGACACAGCAAAGGCAGCGCTAAGAGGAATGTTCACAGCCTTAAATGCCTACATCAAAAAGTGAAAGAGCACAAATAGACAATCTAAGGTCAACCTCAAGGAGATAGAGAAACAAGAACAAACCAAACCCAAATCCAGCAGAAGAAAAAAAATAACAAAGATCAGAGCAGAACTAAATGAAATTGAAACAAACAAAAAATACAAAAGATAAGTGAAACAAAAAGCTGTTTCTTTGAAAAGATAAATAACATTGATAGATGATTAGTGAGATTAACCAAGAAGAGAGAGAATCCAAAAAAGCTCAATTAGAAGCAAAATTGGAAATATCACAACCAACACCACAGAAATATAAAAAAAAATATTCAAGGCTACTATGAACACCTTTACACACATAACTGGAAAACCTAGGGGAGATGAATAAGTTCCTGGAAATATACAACCCTCCTTGATTAAACCAGGAAGAAACAGAAACTGAACATATCAATAGCAAGCAGCAAGATTGAAATGGTAATAAAATAAATTGCCAACAAAAAAAGTCCAGAACTAGACAGATGCACAGCTGAATTCTATCAAACATTCAAAAACGAATTGGTGGTTTGCTACCTATGTAGCAAACCTGCATGATCTGCACGTGTACCCTAGAACTTAAAGTATAATTTTTAAAAAAAGGAAAAAAAGAAAGAAAAAGAGATAATAACTTGGCCTCCATAAAAAAAAAAACCCACCGAATTGGTACCAATCCTATTGACACTATTCCACAAGATAGAGAAAGAAAAAATCCCCCCTAAATCATCTCTGAAGACAGTATCACCCTAATACCAAAACCAGGAAAGGATATAACCAAAAACAAACAAATAAACAAAACAAAACAAACTAGGAACCAATATCCCTGATGAATATAGATGCAAAAATTCTTAACAAAATACTAGTTAACTGAATACAATGGCATATCAAAAAGATAATTCACCATGATCAAGTGGGTTTTATACCAGAAATGCAGGAATGATTTAACATATGCAAGTCAATAAATGTGATGCACCACATAAACAGACTTAAAAATCACATGATCATCTCAATAGATTCAGAAAAAGCTTTTGACAAAATCTGGCATCCCTGTATGAGTAAAACCCTCAGCAAAATCAGCATAAAAGGGACATACACCTTAAGATAATAAAAGCCATCCATGACAGACCCACAGCCAACATAATACTATATGAGAAAAGTTGAAAGCATTCTCCCTGAGATCTGAAACAAAACAAGGATGCCCACTCTACCCACTTCTATTCAACATAATATGGAAGCCCTAGCGCACAAGAAAAAGAAATCAAGGGTATAAAACTGGTTAAAAGAAAGCCATACTGTCACTGTTTGCTGATGATACAATCACATATATAGAAAACTCTATACATTACCCAGTCTCTGCTATTTCTTTTCACCAACGTGAGAATGTACTAATACACCAAATATGTGTGTGCTGTATGCCCTTTATCTTTGTTCTATAGCTATCATGGCATGGTATGGAATAGAGGTACTTTCCCCAAGTTGGCTGCAATTGGCTCCTAACTCCATTTATTTTTTCAAGTGGAAAAAGTGTGTACCACACGAACCTGCCAGAATTGGGCCTCCATATTCCAATGACATGTTTTCCTCTTCTCCTTTCATCAAAACAAGTAGCTGAGCCTCACTGTCCTAGCACTAGGAAGAAGGTTGCATGAGAGGGAAGGGGCTCCCTTCTCATTGGTTTATAAAGTCCTAAAACCCATGTTTTCATATCTTTCAGGATAACAAAATATCAAATGAGAAGTACACACACAATTTTATGGTTAGTATTTGTTAATGAGTTCTGTGTTCTTTTCACCTTCCATTCACACTAATTATAGTGCAAAAAAGAAATCTGGACCCCTCTTTACCTTTTTACCTCTCAGAACTTCAGTTTTATCACCTGTAAAATGAAGTCAATAAAAGGTGTCTTATGAGATTCTTACAAGGATTTGTGATAGAATATGTAAACTTCAGCTATGATTTGTGACTTACAGTAGGTGCTTGACAGCTGGACAGCTATTGATCTTCCTAACAACTTACCCCTTTGCTTCCCTCTTTTATATTTAGAAATAACCCATCTCAATGGAAATAAAAATGACTTTTGGGAATTTAGCCTATCCCACAGTTGACAGAATTATAGAAAGTCAGTTTAAAACAAAATCTCTCATTTGATTTTAACTCAATTTAGAAAACTCAAATTTTAGTGCACCCTGATTTACAACTTTAAATAATAGTTTTTAAAAACAGTAGGAAAAATATCTTATATTTATTACTGTGATAATAAAATATTTAATCTATTCAAGAAAGATAATTTAAAAAGTAGTTTAGAAAAGTCACCTAAATGTTGAGCAGTAAGATCCAACAAGACACAGTGAAAAATAGTACAGGTTTTGACATAAAAAATGCCAAGCCAGATGACGTGGGCTTAAACTATACAATTCTTTTGAACTTCAGGTTTCTCATCTATAAAGTGGCACTTATTTATCTCATAAGACACCAGGGTTAAATGAAATAAGAGATATGAAGAGGCTACACAATTTTAATTATTTACTGTGTTCCAAAGTATTTGTATTATAAAAAATAACTTTGGGATTCATTATTCATGCTTTTGAGTCTGGATTTCTATAGTTTCCACATTCACTGGGGGTCAAGGTGGAAGTGACTCAAAATAGCAACGACTACCTTTGCCTAGGTGTTATCTAAGGACCTGGGAGCTAAAAAGGGAGCCAAAAACAAGACACCTTAATTGTCACCTCTCTTTCAATAATTTACTTGAAGTCTATTAATGTTCCTTTTGCATGAGATGTTTCAGCATCTGGTCAGGCCAGGCAGGCACCCTCAGATCAGTCAGAAGGCACTAAGGCCAATTAAGGAGATGAAACCAAAGAGCACTGGGAACAAGATGCTTTGTCTGCATCCATTTCTACAGCAAACAGTCAATTGCATCTTTATTGTTACAGCTAGGCAAAGATCTTCACAAATTTGTCATTTCCCAAGCTTTCCAATAGCTAGCTATTCATATGTGGTTCCTGCACCGTTGTCTGTCATCCAAAAGCATTCTGAGAAAAATGCCTTTATTTTAAAATTCTGTGGATGCAAAATTCTTATAAGTTTTGTGAAGTATGTCTTCTGGTTTTCTAGATTGTAATCTCTTATGGTTGTGATCTCTGAATAATGCAATTATCAGAAGATACAGTCATAAAAAGACTTCAGTAAATAGTGTTTTCTACAGGCCACATGGAAGGGACATGTGAAACCAACAGTGCCACTATTTTTGCTATCTCATCTATGACTTCTAGGCACAGTGCACAGCCATTCCTCTGAAAGCTCACTCTATCCGACATAAGCCATGCGTCATCCATGATGAAGGTATCCTTCAACTAAAGCAATCGCTTCATTCTTGGGGCTATTCAACATCTGCAAGGTTTACTCTATCTTATTAACATTTTATTTTATTTATTGTTTTGAGAAAGAGTTTTGCTCTTGTTGCCTAGGCTGGAGTACAATGCCATGATCTCGGCTCACTGCAACCTCTGCTTGCAGGGTTCAAGCGATTCTTCTGCCTCAGCCACCCGAGTAGCTGGAATTATAGGCATGCACCACCATGCCCGGTTAATTTTGAATTTTTAGTAGAGATGGGGTTTCTCCATGTTGGCCAGGCTGGTATTGAACTCCCAACCTCAGGTGATCCACCTGCCTCGGCCTCCCAGAGTGCTGGGAATACAGGCATGAGCCACCACCATGCCCGGCCTTCTTATTAACATTTTTAAAAGGCAAACTTTTTGAGTGTCTACAACTCACACTAGGAAAAAAGAAAATCAATGAATTAGAAATCACCATCTTCAAGAAAATTTCTAGAATATCAATATTTTCTGACTTTCCAGTCAGGAGTGGTTCATTATGATGACTGCATTCTTGCATGATAAGCTCCTATTTCCTGTCGCTTATGCATCAATTTACAGTATTGAACACTACTTAGCCATGATTTGCCTGATGGATCTAAGATACAACTTGCCAACAGCATAAGAAAAATGCTTTCTACATAATGAAACTACAACTAAACAAAACGGGCTCTGATGTTATCCAGGGATCAAAAAGACCTCTCTCCCAAAACCCCTCCCGCACTATGATTCTTTGGTACTTTTAAAATTTGAGCTAATCATGTGGTTTGCAGCATTTAGTTTGCATGATTATGACAGAAGTATATGATAAAAGCATTACAACTGGATAGAAGGAGAGAATATATAAAATAATGAGTTATATTGGTAAATGGATTATTGTCTATATGACAGATTGATACCCTCAGAAGGATTTTAATGATGAAATGCTGAAAGGTTGCACATATTTGACAGAAAATGCAAACAGCTATGTTGGAAACATAAGGAGTTGACTTGACAAATGTGCTTTCACAATGAATAACCAGAGCATCCATCAAAACAAAGGCCAATGCCTAGAAGAAAATGTGCACAGCCACTGCACTGGCCCATGTTAATAGATGGTGCAGGTTTTTAAAAGACCAGATGTATGTACCTCTAGGACCAATCAAACAAGGCTTATTTTTCAGAGGCCACCAAAAAAGTCAGCATAGTCAAGATACACAACAGTAGTATCACCATCAATGGCTGCTCAGGCTGTGCACTGCCCAATTCCAGAGACACCAATCAATTGCAATGCACTGTAACTAGAACCCTCCACAAATTGGCATCCTGCTAGAAAGAGAGAGTTGCATTATCTCAGAGAGATGCAACCTTTGGACCCACCCCCAATACCTCTCTATAGGGTTTTCAAAGTTGCAGATGATAATGTTGAGTGACTTTCCAGAAGCACAACTACATGTCTCCAGCCCCAGCTTTGTAGGCATCAGCCCAGCATAGTTCTACACACAGCTTCAGAAGGATACATTCCAGAGGCCACCATATGAAAGCCAGGCACATCTCATCAGTCTCTGTGATATGTAATGCATAATACACAGCTTGCTCAGGCATAAACAAAAGCCTTATTCATCACCCTCACTCTCTCCAGGTTGGTACATCCTGGTCTGGGAACATTCTTAATGCTGCAGATTGGGCTACTTTCCCAGTCTCTGGGAGCCATACTTACAAACCCTTAGACTAGCTGAGTTGACTGTAAATGCCGAAATGCAAGGAGCACTGGGACCATACATTACCACTCTGACTTTATAACATAAGGCCCAAAGAAAGATAACTTTGAGGAAGGCTTCATGCAGAAGTGCTGATTTACTCTTTATCTTCATATCAGCCAATAAAAGGAGTCAGCTTGTGGCAGCCTGTGACATAAAATAAGCACTGGGCTGTGGGCATCACACGTGCGTTAGAGCCTTACAAAAGTAAGTTTGAATCCTGATTCTACAACGAAGTCCCTGCCTTATATTGGGTCAGGTGCTTGGCCTCTATGAAGATTTTTTCCCCTGCTTATGACACTATAATAACACTTAACATCCAGGATCAATAATAGAATTAATGAGATATGTATAGAGCTCCTGGTACACTTCCTAGCATGTGGTAGGTGACAAATGAATAGTATCTATTAATTTTATTATAAGAATGAACTCTAAATTATGAGAACAATTGTATGGTACTAAGTAAAAGAGTATGTGTATGCGTGTGCACTCAGCATTATATTTTTATAGTAAGTTTGAAAATTAATTATACAAATTAATAGAAGAATACAGTCTCCTTTTTTTTAAAAAAAATAGGACATTATAAAAGAGGTTAAAATTTTATTTGGCCACTCACTGCTACTCCCCATTAATTCCATTTTCTTCTCTACCTCCTAGAAGCAACCAATATAAGATTTTTATATGTAAACATACATGTGTGAAAAGTACATGCTTTAAAAATTATCAAGACTTAGCTGTTCCAGCCTTTGGGCTCTAGAGTGTCCAATCAAACTGGGGGCAGAAGGGATCCCCCAACACAGCACAGCTGCTCTACCAACAGGTGGCCAGACTGCTTCCTTAACTGGGTCCCTGATCTCACTCCTCACTCTGCAGGACCTCGCAATTAGGACCTTCCCCAGCCAACAGAGATTTGAATTTCTTCTGTGACAGCACTCCCAGAGGGAGGGGAGGGCCACCATCTTTGCTGTTGGGGCAACTTAGCTGTTTTAGCTATCGAACACTGTTTCAGTCCAAGCCAGCTGGAGGTGGAACGGATCTGTCAGCACAACACAGCTGGTCTACCAAAACGCGGCCAGACTGCTTCTTTAAGTGGGTCCCGGTCCTGTTCCTCTTAAGTGGGTAGAACCTCCCAACTGGAGTCAGTCAGCAGCAACCCCTGTCGGTGTTCTCAGGCCAACAGAGATTTATAACCTCCCTGGGCTAGAGCTCCCAGAGGGAGGGGGCGACACCAGCCTTGCTGTTTGTGTAACAGCCATTCCAGCCTTTGGGCTTCAGAGTGTCTGAAGTGACTGGGGGCTGAAGTGGATCCCAAGCACAGCATAGATGCTTTACAAAAACACTCTCCTTTTTAAATGGACCCTCAATCCTGTTCCTCCTAACTTGGCAGGACCTTGAGGTTTCTAGCCACCTCCTACAGGGCTGGCAACAAGTCCATACCTCCCTGAGACAAAGTTTCCAGAGGGAGGGGCAGGCTGCCAACTTTGCTGTTTCACAGTCTTTACTGGTGATACCACCAGGTGCTGGAAAATCTGAGGTGACTGACTGGAGTGGGCCCCAAGCATACCACAGCAGTTCTAAGGAAAATCGGTCAGACTGTTATGTGGGTGCACATTCCCGTATCTCCTCACCAGGCAGGTCCTCCAGGCCTGGGTCTCCAGTCACCGCCCCCCAGAGCTATTGAGTAAGTGGCAACTTGGCAACTCCCTGGACAGGCCCTCCAGGAGCAACTGAAAGCCTCTCTGCCACTGCCTCTGCAGCGGAACTGCCCTTGCCACCCTCAGAATAACAAAGGAGCAAATGCCTTAAGTACTTTATCTACACCTTCAACAAGCTATAGTCGACCCAAGGAGAGGTGGTCAGCCTATCTCTTATGGGTCTCACACTCCACTGCTTGTCACCAGATAGGGAACTCCTGGCTTGGGCCCACAGCACAAACCCTCCATCCTGGGTTGATTGCACTGAGCAATTGCTGAACTGCATTTCTTTGATGGAACCCCCAGGAAACAAGCAAATGACAGTCAGCCACAACCACTACTAAGATCCCTTCCTCTGCTGCCTCCAAGTTGGGGTAAAAACATAAACACTGAGATAGCCCCAGAGCTGCTGCAGGCAGCCCAGGAATGCCAAGTTGCAATCTACAGCCAGCACTCAAGGTGGAGAGGAACCTACACTTCCAGAGCACTGAGAGGGAACCTGGCTGCAACCTGAGGAAATATAGGGGAGCCAAACTACTGAGTAAGAGTCTATTAGCTGACAAATAAGCCCAAGTGCCACCTGCTGGATCCCACCCTCAAAGCTTCAACACCAAAAATACCTCACTAACATAAGCCCCTCCGAAACTAGAGAGAAGAAGGCAGCTTCTAATAAAGACCCTGCACAAAGCCTTGGCCTGGTGAAAACATCCAGAAAAGAAGTCTATTGACTATACTCAACGTATGCTGCAGTTAAAGGAACACCCACACAGACAGATGAGAAAGAACCAATGTGAGAACTCCCATAACTAAAATGGTTGTATGTTCTCCGAACAACCACACCAGTTCTCCAACAAGACTTTTTAACCAGGCTGAACTGGCTGGAATGACAGAAATGTAATTTCTGGACACACACAAAGATCATTGAGATTCAGGAGAACAGCAAAACCCAATTCAAGGAAAATAAGAATCACAATAAAGTGATACTGGAGCTGAAGGACAAGAGAGCCAGTATAAAAAAGAACCTAAGAGGTCTGACAAAGCTGAGTAACACAACGCAAGAATTTCACAACGCAATTACAAGTGTTAACAGCAGAATAAATCAAGCTGAGGAAAAAATATCAGAACTTGAAGACTAGTTCTCTGAAATAAGATAGTCAGACAAAAATAAAGAAAAACACTGTGAATAAAAAGAAATGAGCAAAACCTCCAAGAAGTATGGGATTATGTAAAGAAGCCAAATCTATGAATTGTTGGCATCCCTGAAGGAGGGGGAGAAAGCAAACAACTTAGAAAACATATTTCAGGATATCATCCCTAAAAAGTTTCCCAGCTTTGCTAGAGAGGCCAATACTCAAACTCAGGAAATACAGAGAACTCCTGCAAGATTCTACACAAGAAGATCATCCCCAAGACACATAATCATCAGATTTTCCAAGGTCAAAATGAAAGAAAGAAAAAATGTTAAAGGCAGCTAGAGAGAAAGGGCAGGTAACCCATAAGGGAACCCCATCAGGCTAACAGCAGACCTTTCAGCTAAAACCCCACAAGCCAGAAGAGATTAGGGGCTTCTACACTCTTAAAGAAAAAAATATATTCAACTAAGCATTTCATACCCAGCCAAATTAAGCTTCCTAAGTGAAGTATAAATAAGATCCTTTTCAAATAAGCGAATGTTGAAGAAATTCATTATCACTAGACCTGCCTTACAAAGAGATCTTGAAAGGAACACTAAATATAGAAAGCAAAGACTGCTACCAA